GGTTAGGTTAGGTTACACTGGCCGGCTGATGCGCCTTACATAGACCCGTTGGTCCTTTGTAGTGCCAGATGGAGGTCCGTTTTACTGCGGTCTAAAGTAGTCGTCGTATAGGACGTCAACGCTTTTTGCGAAGTTCAAGAGTGCCTTAATATCCAGTTTTGAAACCTCCTCTAGTCCTTTAAACTGCGAAGCTCCGAGATAACTAAGACGATTTCTAGCTAAGGCCGGACAGAAACAGAGGAGGTGTTCTAACGTCTCACTCATGCCTTCCTCCCTGCACTTCCTGCATGCGTCACTGTTACTAATGCCCATTCTGCTTGCGTGGGATGCCAGTAGGTTGTGGCCCGTCATTAGGCCGACAACTGTCCTGCAATCCCTACGTGACCGTGTAAGCAAGAAATGGGTGTTTCCTTTGCTGCTATTGCACATGATCTTGGTGGTTTTGCATGTCGCTAATGCGTTCCATCTCCCCCTGATCCGGCACCCAGCTCTTTCGGAAATTTCATTGTAGATCGTTTTTAGCGACTTTTGTATTTCCCGTACTGGTTCGCTAGCAAGACGGATGGCACTTTTGGCAATCTCATCAGCTATTTCGTTGCCTAAAATGCCCTTGTGGCCTGGAACCCAGTATATATGCAGCCGTTTACTCTCGGCCGCCCTGTATACTGCTTCCCTGCTTCTAAGGACATTTTCTGACGCAATACGATGTGAGATTATGGCCTAATCGCCGCCTGGCTATCGACATATATATTGATATTTTTTATATAATTTCCTGCGTTGCTAGCTATCTCAGCAGCTTTCCCTACAGCGAAGACTTCCGCCTGGAAAATACTGCAGTACTCTGGAAGCTTGAAGGGTTGCCTGAGGTCTAGCTCGGCGCAATAGACTCCGGCGCCCACTCCATCAGCCATTTTTGATCCATCCGTGTAGATGTTATACGTTACGCCGGCGGGTCGCGTGCTCATGCGCCATCCGTCCTCCTTAACCGTAGCTTTAAACCTTCTTCCCCAGATGAAGCGTGGGGGTATGTGGTCTATTTTGTCCTCCATCCCCCTGCATATCGAGCTGTGCCCGAAGGTTCTTGCGGAGAATTCACCTAAGGCCATCAATCTCGTGGCGGATTTCGCTGCAGTGCTCTCCACCGCGATGTCGATTGGTGGTAGGCCAAGTAGCCTTTCAAGTGCCGCCGTTGGAGTGGTCCTTAGCGCTCCTGTTATGCACAGTGCAGCGAGCCGCTGTAATCGCTCCAATGGTTTTCTATACGAAATTTTGTTTGCAGCGGTCCACCATACAAGAGCACCGTAGAGCGATATCGGCTTAACTACCGCTGTGTAACACCAATGCATGAGGCCAGGGGATAGGCCCCATGTGGTACCCAGCATCTTTTTACATGCGTAAAGGGCACCACTGGCCTTTTTCACCCTTTCCTCCACATTTAGCTTCCACATCAGTTTGCTGTCCAAAATTACTCCCAGGTACTTGGTGTGATCCTTGATTGATAGCTCCGCCCCGTTGAGCCTCGGGGGTTTCCACGCGGGGATTTTGTACCTTCTTGTGAACAGTACCGCATCCGTTTTGTCAGCATTTACCTCTAAGTTGACTGTTGTCGCCCATCGATGTACGACCCTTAGAGCGCTTTCCATTACGTTACTGATGGTGTCTAGGAATTTCCCCGTAACAACTATAGCTATATCGTCCGCATAGGCAATTAGTCTGGGTGCTTTCCCTTCGAATTTTCCCAGAAGCTCATTCGCTACGAGTAGCCACAGGAGTGGTGACAGAACACCACCCTGAGGAGTTCCTCTATGCGCTAGTCTGAGCAACCTGGCTCCGTTCCACTCCGCCTTAATTTTCCTGCAGCTCAGCAGGCTTTTTATCCATAGTAGGATGGCAGACTCTACCTGGGCTGCTTCTAGGCTTTCCATTATTGCCTCATAGGAGACATTATTAAATGCCCCACTTATGTCCAGAAAGACCCCTAGGGCATATTCTTTATGCTCCAGAGCTTTTTCTATTACCGCGGTTAGTGAGTGAAGTGCAGTCTCAGTGGATCTACCCTTCGTGTAGGCATGCTGCGCCTTTGATATGCTGGCCGACGGCAGCTTATCTCTGATGTAGGCGTCCAGAATCTTTTCGAGCGTCTTTAGAAGGAATGAAGTTAGACTAATTGGTCTGTATTCTTTCGAATAGAGGGGATTTCCCTTGCCCGCCTTCGGTATGAATACGACCCTCGCCTCTCTCCAAAGGACAGGCACATAGTTTAGTCTTAAACATCCCTCGTATATTGTTTTCAAGTATGGTGTCAGCACTGCGGAAATTTTTTGCATCATGGCTGGAAAGATACCGTCTGTACATGGGGACTTAAACGGCCCGAAGCCATCGATTGCCCACCGTATTTTTTCTTCCGTTATGATGTCCGGGGGACATTTTCCACGCTATCTCCTAGAAGTTGCAGATCTATGCTGTCTGTACACCCCGGAAAGTGTGTGTTGACTAGGTCTTCCAGTGAGTCCTCACTGCTTCCAGTCCACTCTCCACATTTTTTACGTAGTAACCTTGGATTAGTCGGGTTATTGGATAGCAATTTCCTTAGCCTGGCTACCTCGGTTGTTTTTTCTAATTCGCCGCAGAAGCTCTTCCACGACTCCCGCTTGCATTTACGAATCTCTTTCTTGTATTCCTTAAGTACTTCCTTGTATTCCATCCAGCAGAACTCGTCATCGGCTACCTTGGCCAGTTTGAAGAGTTTGTATACATTAAATTGGTCCAAAAAAATATTAAAGTCGGAATTTTGTTCCTCTCACCCACTAGGATTGTTCTAAACATAGCGAAAATTACATCCCTGTGTTTTATTTTGAAATCAAAAAATTATTAAAGGTCTCTCAAATCGTTACAAAATTTTCATGTATTTTATGTGAAGAAAAAACTATTTTTCATTAAAATGTATTCTAGATCATCACTATTTTTGGAGCAAAAAACTTTATTTCTCTTCAATTGTTAATTTACCCTTTTTAAGTGACTTTTTGTATAGGTCCCTAGATTAAAAAATGGTAAAAGAAACTATTGGGTATAATTACTGAAAGTCTTCTGAAGAAACAAAGCTTTTCGATAGAAAAATATTGATTTTTCGGAATTCTATACCGTTTTAAAAATTATTATTAAAAAAAATTTGTTTGCATATAAAACACCAGCAAAACATGAGCGCTTTGAGCGAAATAAAAACACAGGGGCAATCTTTTTTCAATATATGTAGCACAGTCAGGGGCGCACCCAGGAATATATTTTGGGAGGGGTTTATACTTCTGAAATTTGCTTCAGATAATATGCTCTTTAAAATACATTTGTGCAAGCTTTATGTACAGTATGTAATAAAAAAATAAACCTTTTAAAATTTAATAAATTGCACTTTATTACATGAAATTAACAAGGAACTGAAACATTTTAAACCGACTCCAAAAAAGAGGGAGGTTATTAATTCGTCAAAATATTTTTTTCTTTTTTTATGTATGCTACCGCATAACTTTGGACCACGTGAACCGATTTCAATTTCTTTTTTTTTCGGAAAGATGGTACCTCATGGGTCGTCCCGTAATTTCGTTTAGATGCGATCATTGGATCATAAAAAAATTAACGGTATTCCTAAATTTATATATGAGAATTGAAGTTGGTTGTGTTTTTTGCTTAAAAATTACTTGTTTAATAAAAAGTTCTATAAACACAGGATGCGCTCAACTTTCAAAAGTAATAAGAAAATTAAAAAAAGAGTTTTAATGATCGATTTCCTCGATTTCTGGTCGCTACGCTAAATTTTCGTCGCAATAATTCTCTAAATGAAAAGCAGTGGGCCTAAAAGTATACTGAAGCGAAAAGTAATAGCTGTAATGTGTAACTAATCGGCTTAGTCTGGCATGTAACTAAATGTTGCGTGTTTTTAGGCGTTCCTGCTATTCTTTTGGAGATTTTTGGCGATCAAAATCAGCTGTAGCAAATGCTGGGAATCTTGCTGCTGGTTTTCGATGGAGATGGTGCTTTTTAAACATTTAATAGCTCTCAAGAAAAGCGAAAAAATCATATATGTACATAAAATTACGCACAAGAAATTTCTTAAATCCTTTACCAAAATTTCTTAAATCAGTTTGCATTTCTCAAGAAAAATGCTCATATATTTATTTCTTCAAGAAAATTTACAGCGAAAGGGAAGTTCTTTTTCAACAGAAATAATAAAAAATATTTCTTGTGATTTTTCTTGAGAGCTGGATTCTTAGCTTTAAGATACAGTTCGTATTTGAGGTCATTAGCTTTAGGGGGGGTGGGGGTTTGAACCCCAAAACCCATCCCTTGTGTACGCTAATGAGCACAGTACTAGGGGGTGGAAGCATTAAAATTAGGGATTTACATTTTTTACATGCATTTGTGGACCACGCTAATGTACATGCATGAAAGCATATATCGCTCGAGATATGAAATTTCATTAGAGGGAACGACAAAATGTATTAAACGCTTTAAAAACGTGACATATTGACAAACAAACGAAAGAGCAGAGCAACGTTAATTCGACAAGTAGTTTCAGTCATTTGTTTGGTTCAGGCGCTTCACTAAATTTACAGAAAGACGAATCTAATCTAATAGCACAGGGCAACAAAAATGGAAACGAATTATGATGCGGCAAATGCTAAAGCTGTTTTTTATAGAAATAATAAATTTTCTCCCTTGAAATCGCCTTCGAAATTTGCTCATACAATTTTCTTGACAAATTTCCAAACATCGACAAAGTAACTAATGATTTCAGCCGACTCAATCCAAAAAATGTTTTATAGAAATAATAGCAGCATTTCCTTTTTGAACTCGCTCAACCAATCAACTGTCAATTCTCAATTAATTAATTTTATTTGTGAACCCCAGTGATAAATTATCCCTAAAAAAGGTCAAGTTATGTATTTCTACCACAAACAAAAAACATCATCCTAAAATATACTTATATATTTTTAATATGTACTTACTTAGAAGAATGCCATTAAGAAGGATGATTTGATACATACCTGCAAAAGGAGAAAACCAAAATTTAGTAAAATTTTAATTTGAAAATAAATAAAATCGCAAGCTAACATACATATATGAATATATAGCTCAAAGGGACGTAATGACGCAGGAACAAGAAAATGCACCAACAAATGAAATGAAAATATTACTACCTACTATTGAGCACTTAGATATTATTGCCTACATAGCAAATTGTTTGCGTGTGCGAAGTAATGACTCACAGATCCAATTTTTCATTTCTATATAAACCGAACTCTTAGACAGAATTAATTTTTAGTTAAGCTGGATTCCACAATAAATCACTTATCAAGCCAAATTAAGCAAGCGTTCGTGTTTTACGTGTAGACAGCATAGCTCTCGGTATAGGCAAAATCTGCGTTGGTCACTTAAAAAAATTTTAACTGCTTTTTGCTCAACCCAGCAGAAAATCTGTACATAATTGCTTCTTGTATATACAAATGAACATTTCTGGACTAGTTCAGGGCTACTTCAAGCCTATTTCGGGCCTAGTACTAGATAATTATTATTTCAGGTCCATTTCGGAACCTCTTCAGGACTATTTCGAGACTAGCTCATGACTAGTTTGCCATTTTTGTACTGGTTCTGTACCATTTTCTGGACCTTTTGAGGACAATTTCAGGACAGGCTCGGGCTAATACCCGGTTATTTCAGGATCATTTCGGGACTACATCGGTATCGTGTTGCGACTAATAAGGGACCATTTGAGGGCCGTTTTAAGACTTATTCGAGATGCTTTCAGGACAAGTTTGCAATTTTTTCGGATCCCCTTAAAAATACTCCATTCAATATACGTTTGAGACTAGTGCTTGATCATTTCGCAACTAGTTTTTGAATTATTCGCGAAGTTGTTATGAAAAAAATCATGTACTGATACAATGCACATGACAAAATGAATTAAAATTAAATAAAATTTAGTAAGCTCGAAGGCCAGCAAATAAAGAATAATCCAAAATTTAGTTTGATTATCTGTTATTGCCTGGATCAACCGAGTTCTTGAAGATGGCCTCCGATTGAGGTCGAAATATCGACAATAAAAATTAATAAAACTAAAACTTGAAGTTTTATTCAGGGACCGAACACAACAGTTATTGATGAAAGCTATCCTTGAAAAGCTCACTATGAAGGAAATGTTCCACAACTAAGTGACACCAACCAATCGATTTTTTTTCACCGAGAATAAAATCAGAAAACAAATTTTTATTTGTAATTTTTTGCAAACTTAAAAAAAAATATTTTTGATTTTTATCTAAATAATCTGTAAGGAACAGCTATTTTTGATTTTTATAGTATATGTCCTAGATATAAGTTATAGAAGACTTTTATTTACAAAAGTCATCAATAAAAATTAGTCACTGACTTTTATAAATAAAAGTCTTCAATAACTGTTATCTAAAATGTATAATTTAAAAATCAAAAATAACTGCTATTTGCAGATTATTTGGAAAATAATTGTAATTTTGAAAACTTTTAAGTCAAAAAATAATGGTTAAAGAGCGATTTTTTTTAGTAAAGGTTGTAACTGTTACGGTCCCTGGTTTTATTTATTTGCTAAGCCTTGAGCTTAATAAAGAAAAATTATCTTAGTTTATAATTCGAAGGCCAATAACCAAAAACAAACATATTAAATGAAATAATTGTTTAATTTGTAACCTAATTTATTTGTGTAAGTAGCTGAATCGTCTAACGGTTGGCCAAGTCGTGCACAGATATTTACACATTATGATATACCTGTAGCCAACGCCTTTTTTACCCTTAATTACTAAAATTCTTAGTAGCCTTTAATTATGCATATACCTCAATATAAAACCGCCTACGCTTTTCACTAAGTTTCGAAGTATTAGCAATGTATTAATGATAAATCCAATTAAATTTTTATAACGTTTTTTCTCTCTAAGGAATCCGATTGTGCAGTTGGGAGGCAAATATTAAAGAGAGGTCTCTCAACTTTGTTTACGCAGTTAAAAATATGTATTTACTTCCACTGCAGCACAAAAGCAAATAGCTTTACACCCACTTATAAACACAAATTTAAACTAAACAAAAAAAGGTATGTATCTCATCATCACTTAAAACAGGTAAGGCGGCATAAAATTACGCACAAAACTAAACCTTAGCCCAACGGACTGAAGGCTGACGCAAAATCATTAGTTGTCAATATTTGTGAACTATTGTTGAATATGTTTGCGTGTCTATATGTAAACGAGCATGAAAAGCCAGTAAAAATCAATAAAATGTGAATAAATAAAATTTCGAATCAGTTACAAAAATACTGGATAAGTGAGACAGACAAGAGGAAGGTGCATTCATTCATTCGCACTATGTAGTATATAGGAGAAAAAGTTTCTGGAAAAGCACAAGCGGAAAAGCATGGAAAAGTACAAAAGGTGCAATGAAAAACGCACAGAATATATGCCCTGATGCACTCACATGCCATTCGTATGCATGTGTTCCACTTGAACGCTTACATGCATTGGGGAAAAGTTTCGAGGCAGTTGAATAACCTCGATGACGCGCCTCAACTACAGACGCTTTCTGCACTGGCTAAGCACACTATGAGTACACCTACCAAAAGGGGTGAAAACATCTACAAAGACAAATACGGTTACGTCTATATATGTATATGTACATTTACTTACACACATAAGCTCTGAGGCAGTGAGTCAGCCGGTCGTGTTCGCACACTTGCATGTAAGCGGATATACACCCCTTTTATAGAAAAGCCCTTAAATGGCACTTATGACGGCAAAGCTTGTGCTCGGCTTATTAGTTTGAATCAAACTGGCGGCGGCAAGGCTCACATACATACATACATTCATACAAACATAGCAGCTACGTAAATAGTCAGCCAGCCACTCAGCCGCTTTGCTCTCATTTCTGGTGCGTGCGTAAGCCCTTAGTCCTGAGTTCGATGTGCTCTTTAACACGTAAGTGCATGCATATGTAGTTAGTTAATAAGTGCGTGTTCACTTGTTTGTAAGTAGGTGCATTTGTCTGTACACATACATACATATTTTTTTTATATTTGATTTGCTTGCTTCTTGCACCCATTTTTTGTACGTAATACAGGTAAAAGCTTTTCTTACTTTAACTGCCAGTGTAGTTATATAGCGTTGGTTTACCTTTGTATTTGTGCTTAGTAATTAATTTGCACATATACATATATGTATGTATTTGTATTTATATGTTATGTGTCGGCTATTTACGCACTCATTGTATTGCAAGCGCACTCTGACAAAAAGCACACAGACGAATGAGTAAACAAATTGTCGCGCTACTTGAATGTTGCGTATACGCACTGTTGGCTATGAATGCTTCAAAAATGGAATAGGAAAAAATTGAAGATGTCTAAAGAATGAGTGCAGTTGCGCTAAGGTGTTTCTTTCTACCATTGAATGGATGAGCATACAACTACTTGGCGCGTCGCTTGGGGATTAAGTGAAGTCTTATTACTGATTTTTAATTAATGCGAGACAAATTTAGAAGTCTGAGACGGAGGAAAATACTGCAATAACATAGCAGAAATGTTAAGTTAAGTTGTATTTTAAAACATGTCCTAAATATATTTTACGATTGAAAGATTTTAATCCATTTTTATTTTAAAGCGAAGCTAGTAAGCAGCGAGCCGTAATAAACTAGATTTGAAAGACAAAACACTTCCAATTAAATTCGAGAATAAAAAAGTGTTAAAATTTTGTAAGATATTGACAAAGTGGCATTCAAAAACTAACAATGAGTTGAAAAGCTATTGCATAGTAAACTTTCATGACGTTAAAATGCCCAAAACTGAGTTCCAAAAACCTAGAAACTCTTTTGAATGTTAGTCAACGTTATAAGCGATCCGAGTGCAATAATTCATCTAAATCCGTGCAGCCGTTTGTGACCACCCTGTACCGATTAAAAAAGTTGTGACTTCAAAAAATAAAAATCTTTTCGCACATCTACACCAACGTCTTTAGTTTGATTTCTACAATAGATAACTAGGGTAATTCTCTAGTCGTTCTCGAGTCGATGACGAAGTTAGAGAACTACATTAGAATTAGATTCGAGAACGATGAGAGAAACGACGCAAATTCGAATAAATGTAAATAAGCAATATTCCAAATGAATTAATCATAAATTATTTTTAAGTTTAAATAATTCATTATTTTATTGCAAATACATTTAATACAAATTTTACAAACAAAGCATTTTGTTTAATAAAGCAAAACAGCAGTTTGAAATTCACGTTCGAATACCATTAGAGATCAATATTAGAATTCGATTGGAGATCGCTATGATTCTCAATAGTTTTTTGCGTCGTTCTCTAACGTTTGAGATTGGAGAATGTGGCTAGTTCCCCAATCATTCTCAAATCGATAACTAACCTCAATGCTTGCTGGGTACATTTAAACTCAGTTAGATCTGTATGACTTTTCGAAAAGGTGGCAAGCCTAATCAAAGATATTTTCAAACTTAAGTTTTCTCAATTTCTTTCAATAGATACTCATATTTTAATATTTCATAAAACTTGGGTATAAGTTAAAAAAATTGGACTTTTCATACAGGTGGAAATCCTTTTCAAAGCTATTATCCAACAAAAATCGTAAATCTTTTTCGTCTAACATTGTGATACATATTTTAAGTAACTGATGAATTAGGTTGAATTTCGTTTTTCAACAGTTAGAATATTAAAGAGGGTTGCCACCTGTTTAAAAAGGTATGCTCTAATTATTTAATAAGTTAAAATAACTATTAAAAAATTGTATCAAATTAAATGTTTTTAAAAGGGTTTTATTTCGGAACCATATTTAGGAGGGTTGCCATCTGTTTGAAAAGTCGAATTGAGCTAACTTACGCACAACTCCGAACACCAATATAATGCGAAAACGAGCACGAACTCGAATACTAAAACGGAGACCTAAGCTAATATTAAAAGTAATACATATTTCTGCAATATAAAACGAAATAAAAATTAATCAGAGTAGTGACCGATGGTCAT